AACACAGAATAACCACGCACATACACAAACCCCTACTTGGCAAAAACAACAAAAGAACCCAAGGCTGGGTTCGGGTGTAGCTTAAATACGCAGCACTTGCTGGGCCATGCCTCTGCTCTCCGACACTGAGGGGAGGGCTTCCCAGCAGTGGGCGGTTGGCACTTAGGGACACTTTCAGGGAGAGGCGCTCCATGAGTTCCAGGCCAGCCAGGGCACACAAAGAGACCCTGTCTTGAAGAACTAAAAGATTCTACCACTTGGCGCGTATTTCAGAAATGTGCATGTAAGGCCGCTGCCTTCAAGAGCGTCGAGTGCCTTTTGGACGAGAGACTTACACAAGATAAAACAATATGATTAACAGGAGCAAAATATATTTGTTGCTGAGGGTTAAGCCTGGGACTGAGTGTGTAAAGCCTGTGCTGTACTCTAACTTAACAGAAGCAGTAACAACAAAAGTATGTATCTATGATGTTGGCGTCTGTTTTGAGACAGGATGTATTACATAGTAGTTCAGCTAGCCTCTCTAGCTTGTAATTCTCTTGTCTCAGGGTGCTGAGAAACTTAGTTTTGCAAAGTCAAAGAACCTGGCTAGGGATGTAGCTCAGTCAGTAGTGTTTGTCTAGTATGCACAAAGCCAGCCCCTCATAAAGCAACCTGTGCTGCATGCCTCAGGACACAGGTTAGAGGATGGAAGAACAGGAGTTTAAGGTTGTCACCTGCTACATTTTAAGTTCAAGGCTGGCCTTGGGGTTTTGAGACTTTGCTTTTTGTTTGGTTTTTAAAAGAAAACTAGATAACCTGATTGATTCCTATGTCCATAGGATAGGTTACTGTGCCACTTAAAAAAACAAAACAAAACAAAAAAAAAACAGGCCAGGCAGTGGTAGGGGCAGGAAGGGAGGGAGACAGAAACAGGCAGATCTTTTGAGTTTGAGGCCAGTTTGGTCTACAGAGTGAGTTCCAGGACAGCCAGGGCTGTGTACAAAGAAACCCTGTCTTGAAAACAAACAAGCAAAAAAAAAAGAATAAAGAAAGAAAAAGAAAAAATCTGTGGTAGTTGGTATTCTCCTTTCCTTTTTTTTTTTTTTTTTTTTAAGATTTATTTACTTATACAGTGCTCTGCCTGTATATGCATACGCACCAGAAGAGGGCAGTAGATCTCATTATAGATGGTTATGAGTCACTATGTGGTTGCAGGGAGTTGAACTCTGTGCTCCGAACCACTGAGCCATCTCTCTAGCTCTCTGGTGTTCTCCTTTCACCATGTGGTTCTGGGTATCAAACTCAGGTCCTCAGGCTTTGCTGCAAAGGTCTTTACTCATGGGGCCATCTTGCCATTTTAATTCCTTATACACGGTCTGATTTTTCTAAGTTGCGTGTTTATGATATCTCTATGAGAATCTAAAGAGAAAAGCATTGTTAAGAGCGTGGAGCTCCAATGGGAAGGAGATGCTGTCCTTTTGAACTACATGGGTGAGGAATGGCACTGGGCAGCTGGAAGTTCTTTACAGGTTCTTGTCTGCTGGAGGAGACGAGCTAGCTGAGAGGCCCCTCAGTGGGAAAGTGGCCATTTTCCAACCCTTCTTCTTTCTCTCCCTGTGCAGCTCTTAGAACAAGCCCTGGTGATTGAGGAGCAGCTTCGCAGGGCGGCTTACCTGAACATGTCAGAGGACCCCTCTCACCCGTCTATGGCCCTTAACACCCGTTTTGCTGAGGTGGAGTGTTTGGCAGAAAGTCACCAGCACCTGTCCAAGGAGTCGATGGCAGGAAATAAGCCAGCCAATGCAGTCTTACACAAAGGTCGCCAGTGGCTCCCCTGCCTCCTGCTCCTGCTCTCCACTCTCCCCTCCCCAACATCATGAACTAATCACTTCCAAACTGTTTTCAGAACCTGTTTGGAAGCTTAGAGTATGTGCTGAGGATCTTTACTCTTGAAGCAATCAAGGACAGTTTTTAAACTTTTAGTATATTCAGGTCCTTGAGAATAATATTGTCATCTGGGATAGTTTAGAGGTGACTTCAGGTGATTTTAGATCCCTTCAAATTCTAGACCCCTTTCAACATCATATTTCTAATTAAAGTAAAACATTCCGAGGGGGTGGAGGAAGAAGTGAAGAAAAGGTGGATGTCATAAAGGTATGGGGAGACATCTAGGAAGTAGAAAGGCGTGAATGTGAAGAAGAGATCACAGGTACTAAATTTCTCAAGTGATGGAGCACAACACAGCCTTTGGTTTGACCCCTGATGCTGAGAATAAAAACTAAGAAATAAAGCTCTCTGCTGGCATTTACCTGTGTTCCCAGCACTTGGGAGATGGAGGCAGGAAGATCAGGAGATTATAATTATGTTCTTGCTTGGCCACATAATAAGTTTGAAGTCAGCCTTAAGAAATGGAGACAATAGTGAAAAGGGGTAATGAGCTAAAAGGCTTGGTGGCTTTAAGAATCAGAATCACCCAGCACTGGTGAGGCAGAGGCAGGTGGATCTCTGTCAGTTTGAGGCCAGCCTGGTCTACAAAGCAAGTCCAAGACAGCCAGGGCTAAGGAGACACAGAGAAACCCTGTCTCAAAAACAAAAAACAAACAAAAATCAGAATCAGCCAGCTATGGCTATTCCTGGAGTCCCAGGTATTCAGGACAGGAGGCAGTAATGTCATCTGAGCTCAAAAGTTCCAGGCCAGCCTGGGCACCTGCTGTATGCTGGCGGGACAGCCAGTCCTGTAGGTTAGAACTGAGCCCTTGATTACGACAGCTTACGACCTCTTTTCTTTTTTTTTCCCTCTGCAGTTCTGAAACAGCTGGAAGAACTGTTGAGTGACATGAAAGCTGATGTGACTCGGCTCCCAGCTACCATTGCCCGAATCCCCCCAGTTGCTGTGAGGTTACAGATGTCAGAGCGGAACATTCTCAGCCGCCTGGCAAACAGGGCACCAGAACCTCCCCCACAGCAGGTAGGACCATTGTTTCAGTCTCAGTTATCCACAAAGCCACTGGAATTTGTATTTTGTGCTGCCCTTGGCTTTACTGCTGGTCGTCTCCTGTCAGGGATGCCCGGCCAGGCTCTGTTCTGACTCTTGGCTGCTTTCCCCCATAGGTAGCCCAGCAGCAGTGAAGATCCAGAGAGATGACACCGCCTCCACCACTGAGCAGTGACTTTCCTCACTTTCTCCTGTCCCGCCTGCCCCCTGGGGCCAGAGAGACCCTTGCCTTCCTTCTGCCCATCTTCTGAGTTGTAAAGGAACAGCCCCATGCACTAGGGGCAGGGAGGGAGTGAGGGGCAATGGTGCCCTTCCTGCTGGAGAGACTTGCAGCAGTAGCACGGCGCCATATGTAAGGAGCTGGCAGGCTGGCTGCCTTCTGGACCCTGGCTTCTCCCACCGTGCGCCTGTTACAAACTGTTGTGGGTTCTGCCAGGCTTGAAGAAAATGATCTGAATTTCTTCCTCTTTTTGGTTTTATTTTGTTGGTTTACTTTGTGTTTTCTCCTTTTGGGGGTATTCAGAGTGGGCCGGGCCCCTGGGCGAGACACAGCTACCTCTGTTGGCATCTTTTTAATACCAGGAACCCAGCGGCTCCAGCCACTGAAAGGCTAAAATAAAGTTGGAAAAAAAAACAAAACAAACCAAAAGCATAAAAAAAAAAAAAAAAAAAAAAAAAAACAGCAAATTTCTTGATGAGAATTGAAAATAAAAGTTTCCTTGTATTTTAGTGATCTGTTTCCGTGTGGGTGAATGTGGGTGCCAGGTGCCCCAGGAACTGGTTCCTATGTGCCTGTGCTCCTGACAGGATGACGAGCTGTGGAGAACAAGAGGCTGCTGGGCCATCCTTTTGTGGGCCCTTACCTCAAGCAAATTGTTCCCACAGAGTGCTCCTGCATGAAATAGCAACTTGCTTGGTAGAGTTGTTAAGACACTAGGCACAAATTCTGCCATGGGAACATATATATGTATGTGTGCACGTAATTTTTCTTAGAGATTAGGGTCACAGGCTGTCGTCGAACTAAGCCTGGCTCCCCTCCAGTGTGGAAATTAAGTACATGTCCTACCATGCCCTAATTTTTTTTTTTTTTAAGTGATTCACCTTTCCTGATTGATTATTTTTTGGTTTTTTGATTTTGAGACAGGGTTTCTCTGTGTAGTGCTTGGGTCCTGGAACTCCAGGCTGCCCTCAAATTGAAGAGATCCACTTCCTTCAGTTTCTAGAGAACTAGAATTAAAGAGAGTAAACCATGGCTTACAGTTTATTTTGGCTTTTCGAGACAGTTTCTCAGTGTAGCTCTGGGGATTCTGGACGCGCTTTGTGGTCAGACCAGGCTGGCCTCGAACTCTATTGATCCGCCTGCCTCTGCCTCCCAAGTGCTGGAATTAAAGGCGTGCACCACCACGCTCCGCAGTTTATATATTTTGTATTACGTATATTTGTGGAGAGGGCTACTGTGCACGTGGAAGTCGAAGATCACCTTGCAGTTCATTCCAGACACCTACCATATTGGTGGGTCCTGTACTCAAACTCAGTTCAAGCTTGACAGCAAGCGCGTTTATCCTACGAGCCATCTCCCAAGCCTGTAAGGTGGTTTGTTTGTTTTAACTCTTAATACTGCTTAGAAGAAAGGCCGAGTACGTTTTTCTGGTGATGCTAAGTGTAAAGGGCTGGCGAGGAGGGCAAGGTAGGCTTACAGGAAAGCGGTTCTAATCAAAACTTCGGGACGGGAGGGCGGAGAAGTGGGCCCCGCGATCTTGCGAGCTAAGGCAACTGGCCGGGTGCCGGGGGAGGGCCTGCTGCGGTTCTACGTAGCAGGAGCATGGCGGCCTCGGGGCCCCTAAACTGGGACTCGGAGAGCAGCCGCGAGGAAGGGCAGAGTAAGCTAGAGCCGGCCGCCCCGCGTTTCCCTCCCTGGGCCGAGGGAGCGCCTGAGCGGCGCCTTCCTGAACCCGCTCGGTTCCGGTGCCGCGGCCGGAAGAGGCGGGGCGCTGTTCGGAGCGCTTTGCGCGTGCGTGGTACACACTCGCGGTGTGCTGCCCCGGGAGCCCTTCCCCGAGTGCACGTGGAGCGGGGCTTGGCTGGGGTCGCCACGTCTACCGGAGCCAGGTCTGTCTCAGCCGAGCCTTCAGGTGCGTCTGCAGGCTCCCGGAACGGGGTTTCGACCTTGGCCCGCCGAGAGGGGAGCGGCGCCGGGGTCTGATGGCAGAGCCCTGATGGGCCCATCAGGGGTCGCGAGCACAGGTTCTGGGCCGGGCGGTGCCCCTTTCCAGGCAATACCGCCAAGTCTACGGCCTGTGTTCCCTTTTCAGCACCCACAACGCCGCCTTCCCCCGCTTTTCTTTGCTTTAGTACCATGGGCCGCAAGTTGGACCCTACAAAGAAGGAGAAACGTGGCCCTGGCCGAAAGGCCCGAAAACAGAAGGGTGCAGAGACTGAACTGGTCAGATTCTTACCTGCAGGTGAGGGTAGCTTCCTGACCCCGCCCAGCCTTTGCCCCGTTTTGTGTCATAACTTCTTCCCGTTTGCGCGTCTGCCTTCACCTGCTGCATAGATGTGATCATATCATAGATGAAATCATCCGTGTTAGAAGGTAGGGAAGATGCTACTGGTGGGGGCACGGGTACCCGTTCAAGAGGTGCCCTTCCCCTTTTCCAGGAAGGGGCTTCTCGCGAAGAATTTAGAAAGGTTTTGTTAAGCTTGGTTTTGGCGAGTAAGAGTTGGGAACGGGACAGGCCAGGCATGAGTTGTCTGGAGGAAGGGTGGGATGAAAGCAGGTATCTTGAGTCCTGTGTGGTGAAGGGCTGCGCTAGGAGCCTGTGTTTGGTTTTGAATGGAAGTTGCAATTTATTGAAGCCACAGCCTCATGAGGGGTATTATCAGCCCTATGGACACTGGTATTTTAGAATCCTGGGAGACACTTACACACCGTTATTAAATGAAAAGGACTGGGATTTGTGTTTGAAATTTTGCATGGAGTATTGAAAAAATAAAGTAACATTAGCAAAGTTAAGCTCTACTGTAGTTGATAACTAAATAAGCTGAGAAAAAAGGAAAGGGCAGAAAAAAGGTTTCAAGGTTACATTGTTACCAGAATGTCCGTTTGAGTTTGGTTGCTGAACAAGCTACTCTATATCCTTTTTTTTTTTCCCCCTCCTTTTCTGGAGGTGATGGGACTGGAACCTAGGGCTTTCCCTATACAGGCTGTACCATTAGACCTCCTTTACATCTCAGTGTACCTCCTAGTAAAATATTATGGAACAACACACAACAAAACTGTGTTTTGTAACCCTGTTTTTCTTTCCTGATGTGTGGGTGAGCCTGGAGGCTTGCGCATTGCCAAGCCCATAGTCTACCACGGAGCCACGGCACTAGTCTCTCTCACCTTTTAGTTAGTAATTCTCTTTCTGATTACATTCCTGCTCCTGGTTTCTGTGTTTTCTGTGAACTCCTACTCTGCTCCTTTTTATGTTAAAACAGCTGGCGATGAGAACGTCAAGAGGCTGTCCAGTCGTGCTCGGAAGAGGTGAGTGTAAAACACTCAGGTTTAGCAGAAATTGGAGCTGCTTGATTCATGGGTGAAGAGGCTGTGCTTTGTCCTTTTTCCTTGTGGTGGGAGCTGGCAGAACCTGGAGCTGTGTCCCCACCTCTTCGCTTTCTATATCTTTTCAGGGCGGCCAAGAGGAGGTTGGGGTCTGTTGAAGTCCCTAAGCCAAAGAAGTCTCCTGGGATCAAAACATTGCCTGGAGAGCTATCAAAGGGTGAGTGAAAATCTGCATTGGTTTCTGTGTGGGGAATCTTCTGGGTCCTGGGTAGGACTAAGCCTTTCTAGAATGGAAGGAACAGCAAAAAAGCCTTTAGTTTCTTTTTTGAGGTGCTGGAGATGGCTCAGTGGTTAAGAGACAGGGTTTCTTTGTGTAGCCCTGGCAACCCGGAACTAGTTTTGTAGATCAGGCTGGCCTTGAACTCAGATCCCCCTGCCTGTCTCCCTAGTGCTGGGATTAAAGGCAAGATTATTGCTTATTTTTAAAAGAAAACTTGGTCTTAGTTTATTTTATGTGTATGAGTGTTTTGCCTGTGTGTATGAATGTGTGTCACTTGCATGCCTAGTTCTTGTGGAGGTCAGAGCCCCTGGGACTAGAATTACAAATGGTTGTGAACCACCACATGAGTGCTAGGAACCAAACCTAGGTCCTTTGCAAGAGCAACAATTGCTCTCACCACCAAGCCTTCTCTTTAGCTTTCTTTTATTATTTGTTAATTATGTGTGTTTGTGTGTGTCTGAGTGTGGGTGTGGAGGTAGAGATATAGGTAGTTGTGAACCGAACTCAGGTCTACTGCAAATCAGTATGTGCACATCTCTCTGGGCTTTCTTAGGGCTAGAAAGTGCAGGTTCCAGGGGTGTGGGACAGGGAGTGTAATGGCTATCCCTTCCAGAAGTCAAACCCTTACTGTTCTCAGGAGCAGTCCAGGCTCGGGGTAAGAAGCGCCCAGCACCAGTTCCAAACAGTGACGGGGATGAGGAGGACGACACCGAGGAGGACGGCGTGGTGAGCCAGGGAGACCTTTGGGGCTCTGATGACAGTGACGCCGATCTGGTGGATGACTACGGAGCTGACTCTGACTTAGAGGATGAAGAGAAAAAGGTGAAGTTCACTTTTCTTGGTATTCTCAGGTAGATCTTTTCGTTTGTTTGAGACAGTTAAGACAGGTCTGTCTCAGTGTGCAGCCTTGGCTGGCCTCAAGTCAGGTCTGCTGCCTCTGCTTAGTGAGTGCTGAGACTAAAGGTATGTGCCACGATACCCAGCTTGTTCTTTAGCAACAAGGTTCTATCTACTGTGTAGCTCTGGATGGTCTGAACTCTTCGTTACGTAGCTCAAGCTGGGCTCAGATTTACACTGCCAGGACAAATGCTAATATTAATAAAGCAGTTGTTACAGGGCTGAAGCTGTGGCTCAGCACAGGACACTTACCTGATGTGAGGCCTTGATAGTAGAACCCGGCACTGAAAAGAAGCTTCACTCCAGGTGGAATGTGCCAGTCACCCGGGGGTTCAAGCACAGCTTGGACCCTGTCAAAGTGGTTTCTTTTTACCAGTTTGTTGTCAGGGAGGTGGAATGCAAAGGGTTATTTACTAGGGTACCAGTGAGTACATGACTAGGATGTAAGTGTGCTCATTTCAGAAGCTTCAACAATCTAAACTTGGATAGTGTACAGCAGTGCCCTCTGCAGAGCATCATGAAGATGAGACGCAGGAAACTTGGCGGTGTATAAGTAGGAAGCTTGGGTACACGATGACTTAACATCGGCTGTCATGTCTGGGAACTAGTCTGGGGTCTCAACTAGGCTTGTCTTGAACTTGCAGAGATCTGACTGCCACTCAAGTGCCAAGATTAAAGGCATGTCTGGCCTCCAAAAATAAATATTAAAGAGAAGGGAATAAACTTGGAGGTGGAGAGATGGATCAGTGACTAAGAACACATGCAGAGAACCTAGGCTTGGTTCGTAGCACCACAATGGGCTGATCACAGCTGTTTGTAACTCTTATGTCCAGGAGGTCCGATGCCCTCTAATGGCCTCTGGGCATCTGTACTTATGTGTACATACCTGCACATAGATGTTCGAATACACATATAGTTAAAAGAAAATCTTAGCCAGGTGTGGTTGCATATGCCTTTAATCCTGATACTCTGGAGGCAGAGGCAGGCAGATCTCTGAATTTAAGACCAACTTGGTCTACAGAGCTAGTTCCAGGACAGTCGGGGCTACACAGGAAAACCCTGTCTCAAAAAATTAAAAAAAATCTTAGCTGGGTGGAGTAGCGCACGCCTGTAATCCCAGCATTCAGGGAGACAGAGGCAGGTGGATTGACGTGAGTCCCAGGCCAGCCTGGTCTACAAAGTGAGTTCAGGACATCCAAGGCTACACAGAGAAACCGTCTTGAAAAACCAAACCCCCTCCCCCCCAAAAAAAAAACAAACACACACTTGGAAGTGAAGTGTGGTATAAATTATGTGTAAGAATAGTATATAGAGTAATTCAAGAAAATATGGCAAAGCAGGGTCCAAGAACAGGTGCATCCAGCTGGGTGCTGTGGCACACGCCTTTTATCCCAGCACTTAGGATGCAGAAGCAGGTGGATCTCTGAGTTTTCGGCCCCGAGAACTAAGGCTCCAGGGCAACCTGACTCAAAAAAAAAAAAGAAAGTGTTTCCTTTTCTTGTGTATCTCAGACTGGGTCCAAATTCTGCATGCTCTGGCCTCGACCTCCCAAATGCTAGGGTTGTAAGTGTGCTTGACTTTGTTTGCCTTTATGTCGCCCCTACCCCTTACCACCACCCCAGTCAAAAGAAGGAAGAAAGAGCCAGGTATGGTAATCCTCACACTTGGGAGACTGAAGCAGGAGGATTGCTGAGTTTGAGGCCAGCCTGGGCAACACAGTAAGATTATCTCAAACAAAACCAGCCAGACAAAAGAACACCTGAGTGGTTAAGAGCACTTGTGGCTCTTAGAAATGGTCCAGGTTAGGCTCCATTGTCCTCATGGCTGCTTAGAACCATCTGTAACTCCAGTTCTCTGTGTTTAATGTCTTCTCCTGGCCTCCATGGGCACTGCATATATGTAATGTACATATTCATACCTGCAGTCAAAACATGTAAGTTTAAAAAGTAAAGGGCCTGGCTGCTCTTACAGAGGACCTGGATTTGATTCCCAGCATCCACATAGTGGCTCACAACTGTCTGACATTCCAGATCCAGAGAGTTTACCTCTCCTGTTCTCCAAAGGTTCCCTTCTGCACAGGCATGCAGGCAAAGCAACCATCATACACCTACTTTTATTTAATCAATAAAGCATTTTAAAGTAAAAAAACCTGAAATTACAAACTAAAGAGGAAATACACATAACATAGTTTCTGTGCCAAATCTTTAGCTTCTGTATTTGCTTCTGAGAGTGAGCATAAGATGTTTAGGGAGAAGTAAGCCACCAGGGACTGAGGCATGACCCAGGATGCCTTTGTCATCAGCCTTTCTCTCTTTGTAGTTGTTGCCCATTGAGAGAGCTGCTCTGAAGCAGAAGGCCCAGGACACTGCGGCTGGGTGAGTTTGGCAGCAGCTGGGAGGGAGGAGGAAGGTGTGAGGGGGGAGGTGCCTGTTTTAGCCTGAATCCCTGTTCTGGACTGTTTTTAGGGGTCAGTGGAGTGAAGAGGAGACTGATGAAGAGGAAGATGATGAAGTTTCCCCTGAGTCCCACCCCAAGAAAGACGACAAAGCAGAGAGGGATTTGCAGATTAATGTGGAAGATGAGCAAGACTCTGTGCTGCCCCCTGCTGGGGAGATGGAGCAGGATATCCTTTTTTTTTTTTTTTTTTTTTTTTTTTTGAGTGCAGAGTGAGGGCGGGAGGAGGGAGGAGGGCCTTAGTGGGCCTTTCTTAGGCCTGTGACTTGCGGCAGCATTTCCTTAATGGGCCCACATACCCAGGCTCCAGACCTGCAGCGGGTTCACAAGCGGATACAGGATATAGTGGGAGTGCTTCGAGATTTTGGGGCTCAGCGGGAAGAAGGTCGGTCTCGTTCTGAGTATCTGAATCGGCTTCAGAAGGATCTGGCCACTTACTATTCTTACGGAGACTTCCTGCTCGGCAAGCTCATGGAGCTCTTCCCTCTGTCTGAGGTATCAGTGCACCAGCCTATCATTGTGGGGGTGGGAGGGCAGTTAGCTCCCTCACCCCCTAGTGTAAGCTCCATGGCTCCTGTTTCTTTTGCAGCTGATAGAGTTCTTAGAAGCTAATGAGGTGCCCCGGCCAATCACCCTTCGGACAAACACCTTGAAAACCCGTCGCCGAGACCTTGCTCAGGTGAGGAGCTGCTGTCATTTATTCAGAAGTTTACTAATGTTTGCTCACCTGGGCATCACCCTGCCCAGTCCCAGCCGAGTGAGTTCTTCAGGTAAGCTGTGGGGCCTGCTGTCTTGTCTGGTAGACTGAGGGCTTGGGCCACTCTAGAGCAGGACCTTGTCTTCGCAACCTCTGCTCCCTGTGACTGGGATGAGACATCTGTCAGGATGAACTGCTGCCTTATAAGGCATTGGAGGAAGGGCACCAAGAAGCTGAGATCCTGATACATACAGAAAACACACACATACACATAGTGTTACCTTGTGTTCTGTTTGTTTTGTTTCAAGCTTATTTTATTCATGAATGTCCATCATGTGAACATTTGGGAGCTATGGATTGTTGTGAGCCACCGTGGAGGTGCTGGGATCAAATCCAGAACCCCTGTAGCAGGGACAGGTGATGAGCCATCTCTTCAGCCCTGCGTATTGTAGTTCTCAAGTTTTAAGGCAGGTCTCATGAAGCCCGGCTGACCTAAAACTTGTGATGTTGTAGAGGATCACATTGAACTTCTGAGCTTCCTGTTTCTGCCTTTGGAATGCGGGGGTCACAGGCGTGTGCCATTATACCTAGTTTCATGCACTGCCTGAGGCTTCGTGTATGTGGAGCAGGCAGTCCACTTCCTGAGACATGTCCTCGAACCCTGAGGTATTGGAGCGGGAGGTGGAAGAACAGGAGGTGTTCACCGCTTATTGGAATGTACTTGACTGAGTTAGAAACCTGAGGGTAAAAAACGGGGAGTGGGGCAAAGGGGCGGGGATGAGGCCCAATGGGGAGCACGCTGCTTCAGTATGCACAAGCCTTGGACACAATCCCCAACTGGGGGTGTGTGGCTAGATCTGGTAGTTTACATCCAAATCCCAGAACTTGTGAGGTTGAGGCAGGATAGCTCAGTCTATGTAGCAATACCCTGTCTCAAAACAAAGGGACAAGAGCTAGAGTGGCTCATTGGTTGACCCTTTGTCCAGCCTTCAGGGGCCTTGGTTTCCATCTGGAACTGTAGGCAAAAGGGCCTGCGTTGCGTATGAGGAGAGGATCTGCCGACCCTCTGCTGGCCCCTGTGAGAGGGTGTGCTTTCAGGGCTCCAGCAGCGAGGCCCAGCTTCTCTGGCTTGGGTGTTTTCTGGGTGGAAAAGCACGAGTTTGACATCTTCATCCTTATTTTCAGGCTCTAATCAATCGTGGGGTTAATCTGGATCCGTTGGGAAAGTGGTCAAAGTCTGGACTTGTGGTATATGATTCTTCGGTGCCTATTGGTAAGTGTCCCCAAACTGGTCGCCCTCTGCTCCATCCCTGTGCCAGCGTGTCACACAGTGGCCCTCCTTCACAGGCGCTACTCCCGAGTACCTGGCTGGGCACTATATGCTGCAGGGCGCCTCGAGCATGTTACCTGTCATGGCCCTGGCACCTCAGGAGCATGAGCGGATCTTAGACATGTGCTGTGCTCCTGGAGGGAAGACCAGCTACATAGGTATGAGGGGCGGGCTGGGTGGGTGTCCTCTGGCTGAACTTCGGAAAGGGTGCAGGGTTGGCGACTCCCTGAAGCCCATCCGGCTTGGCACACTTTGGCAGAAAGGGGCAGTTTCTAGCTCAGGCCTCCAGCTTCAGCTGTTACTGAACACTCTACCTGACTTGGCTGACTTCTGATTCTGCTAGCCCTAAACTGGGGAGTCATTGTGCTTAGGTTGGCTGTTAACGATGCTCTTGGCTTTCGAAGGTCAATAGAAAGCCTTTGGCACGTTGAGCTGAGTGTGGTAATATAAGCCTGTGATCCTAGCACTCTGGGGGTGGAGACCAGAGCACTACAAGTTCAAGGCTGGCCATGGCTATATGAGATCCTGTCTCAAAAGAAAATAAATAAAAGTCATTTTTCATGGGGTCCCAGAAAGAAGGTCAGCAAGCGTGGACTGACCAGCAGGGCCAGTGCAGGCTGGACAGGCAGAGAGGACTTGGCCTTGGAGGGCCGAGATGTGGCCTGTGGGTGCTGGCCTGGGGTGGGTAGGAGGGTGCGGCAGAGCAACTGCTGCTGAGCCCTGGCACTCCCCTCTCCCTGCCCACAGCTCAGCTGATGAAGAACACGGGTGTGATCCTCGCCAATGATGCCAATGCAGAGCGGCTCAAGAGTGTCGTGGGCAACCTGCACCGGCTGGGCGTCACCAACACCATCATCAGCCACTATGATGGGCGCCAGTTCCCCAAGGTGGGCCTCTGTGCTTGCGAAGGCCTCTCGGCTTCCCTTGCCCTTGGTGGCGTCGCTGTGTTGTAGCGCTGTCCTTAGGACATTGGTAAAATCGGTAGCAAGCATCGGGTTGACCTTGCCTTTTCCCCAGGTGGTGGGGGGCTTTGACCGAGTGCTGCTGGATGCTCCTTGCAGTGGCACAGGAGTCATCTCCAAGGACCCTGCTGTGAAGACGAACAAGGTGAAGGGCCTGGGAGTGGGAGCGGCTGGGAGGCCTTGGCTGGTCTTTTGGGGCTGGAGTGTTGATCAGAGAACACCCTGTGGGCAGCAGCTCCTTCCCTCAGGCTAGGGTGGGAAGTTCCCTCACTCCTGGTCTCTTGGGGGCAGGATGAGAAGGACATCTTGCGCTGTGCCCACCTTCAGAAGGAACTGCTGCTCAGTGCTATAGACTCCGTCAACGCAGCCTCCAAGACCGGAGGCTACCTGGTGTACTGCACCTGCTCCATCACGGTGAGATCTCTGCTGGGCCGGCCGCGGGCTGGAGTGTCTGACCTCGGAGTCTTGGCTCCAGCCCCTTCATCCCCGCCTGCTCTGTTTCCCACATCCAGGTGGAGGAGAATGAGTGGGTGGTAGACTATGCCTTGAAAAAGAGGAACGTGCGGCTGGTGCCCACCGGCCTGGACTTTGGCCAGGAAGGCTTTACCCGCTTTCGAGAAAGGCGCTTTCACCCCACGCTGCGCTCCACCCGGCGCTTCTACCCTCACACTCACAACATGGACGGTTTCTTTATTGCCAAGTTCAAGAAATTTTCCAATTCTATTCCCCAGCCCCACACAGGTAATCTGCTCTAACCGCCATCACCACTTTTGCTCTTCTGTCTTTTTAACATATGTGCGTTTGGTGTGGGCAGGGTGCCCCGTGTGTGTGGGTGTATGCATGTGTGGTGGAGGTGTGCTCACATGCATTTGTGGAAGCTGGAGTTCAACCTCAGGCACTGGCCTCCAGTCACCTTACTTGTTTGGTTTTTGTTGTTGTTGTTGTTTTACTTGTTTGTTTTTTATTTATTTTGTGTGTGCGTGCGTGCGTGTGTGCTATGCATGCCAGATGGAGGTCAGAGAATAACTTCTGGGTGTTTTCTACTTCCACTGTGTGGGTCCTCATCAAACTCAGGCCTGGCAGCACATGCCTTTACCTGCTGGGCCCATCTCACCACCCCTGCTTTCCTTGTTTTTTTTTTTTTTTTTCTTTCTCTCTCTCTTTGGTTTTTCAAAATAGGATTTCTCTGTGTAGCTGTGTAGCATTAGCTGTTCTGGACTTGGTTTGTAGACCAGGCTGGCTTCACACTCACAGATCCACATGCCTCTGCCTCCTGAGTGCTGGGATTACAGGTGTACGTAACTGTGCCCAGCTTCACCCCTACTTTTTTTCCTTTAAAGCTTTATTTATGTATATGAACACTTTTCATGAACAGCAGAAAAGGGAATCAGATTCTATTACAGATGGTTGGAAGCCACCATGTGGTTGCTGGGAATTGAACCCAGGTCCTTTGGAAGAACAGCTAGCGCTGTTAATTGCTGAGCCATCTCTCCAGCCCTCACCCCGACTTTTAAAAAGAATATTTAAAAAATGTTTGTTTATGCATGTAATGTTTTAGATCCAGTCCACCTCCATTTCCTTTTCATTGTCCCCAGTTCTACCACACAGTTGTCATTGCTCAGCCTGAGTTCATTGCCACTGTAGGCTGTGGTTTCCTTCGATTTTTGGCTCTGCTGGCCCAGCGTCTCTGCACTGGTTTGGCAGGCTCTGCAGTTCTCGGGGGCCTGTGACTAATTGCAGTTTGTTTTCTTAGCCATCTTGATGCTGCCTGTATCTCAGGAGGGTGGGGCGCTCCGGAACTCCATGGAGAGCTCTGCGTGCTTTGGGCCAGTTGGAAGGCGGGAAAGAGCACCTGAGTGCAGTGTGGTTTTGGGGTTGGTTTTGTGTTTTTGTTTTTCAGTAGCTGCACACCTACTGCGTGCCAGGTAGGTGCCCCACATACTGCGAAAGCAGCAGTTTTTAAGAGGCAAAGGCAGGTGGATCTCTGAGTTTGAGGCTAGGCTGGTCTCTGTGTAGTGAGTTCAAGACCAACAAGGCTTCATAGCAAGACCCAGTCTCAGAACAACCCAGGAAATAGCAAGTTTTGCTCTAAGTGAAGTATATATTTGATACTTACTAGCTGGTTTCACTTTTGAGTTTGCCATCTTAGTTTCCCGCACTGCATGACATTCTATGCCGGAAAAAGACTTGTCGAGCTAGCCAGTGCTTTAGATTTTTGTTTTGGAGACTGGCTTTACCTCCTCCTCAGAGTGTCTTCCTTCATACTGCCCTCAAGGGGGCACACCTTCCCATGAAACCCTGGCCTACGAATAGGCAGTGATCCTTTAACACAGGATGAGTCTAGGCAGCCAGCTTTTAGACACCTCCCTGATGTGTGGAACTCCTGGTCTAGAAGTGGCAAAGTAAACCTTGGGTTTTTTTTCTTTTTTTATAGTCCTGGCTGTCCTGGAACTCAGAGATCCACCTGCCTCTGCCTCTTGAATGCTAGAATTGGAGGTATGCACCACCGCTACTGCCTAGCAACCTCCTTTCTTAAATGATCAAACCATTTCTTTCATTTTTCCCTCAGGAAACTCGGCAGCAGCCACCCCTGCGGAGCCTGAGCTGAAGGATCAGGTGATCCTAAAGTCTGAGAACAATAGTCAGCCCTCCAAGAAAGCCAGTGGGGCTGCAAAAGCAAAGCAGCACTCAGCGAAACAGCAACATTCTAAGACGCCCTTCCAGAAGGTGAATGGTGTCTCCAAAGGGCCAGGCTCAGAACTGTCCACAGTACCTTCTGTCCCAAAGGCCCAGGGGTCCGCCAGGCCCCAGGAGAGCAGCCAGCCTGATGGAAAAGCTAATGTGATGAAATCAAAGATGGCTGGGAAGCCAAAGCAATGGGGAGCTAAATTGAAGAACCCCAAGGAAGCTGCTTTCCCAAAGCAGAATGCCCCTCCCATGGCCTTGGACTCAGAAACAGCGGTCGTGCCCGCCCCCTCTGAGATTTGTACTGCCCCAAGTCCTAAGGACTGTGGTCAGTCCCCTGGGAAAGCCAAAAAGAAAGTAAAGCCTGCCAAGAGAGCTGCTTCCCTGAAAGAGGATGGTGCCCCCACGGGGCCCTCAGCCCTTGCTGCGTCTCCCCACACTTCCACCAGGCCCCCCCCAGCAAAGAGGAGGAAATCTGTGACAAAGGGCAGCAGCCAGCCCCCAGTGGCTTAAATAGACTCGGAAACTAGACTGCTGCCTCACTGACACTGTTTCGGGTTGGAACTCTACATCCTTCTGCAAGGATGGCCTTGCTATGCACACATATGAAATTTAATATACATGTTACCACCCTTGTCGCTGTTGTGTTTTTTGAGAGGACTGGGCACTGGCAGCTTGTAAGAAGCTAGGCCTGGGGTTCTCTGAAGAGGGAACCAGCCGGGCCAGACTCAAATGACAGGCCAATTTCCCCTTCTGTTACCTGCTGTCCCCGGGAAGAAGCCACAGAATCAGATCTAGGGTACCGGGGAGAAGAGGGCAGTAGGGATGGAGAGAAGGTGGTCTGCCACTGTGCCCTGGATTACCAGAGGCCCAGTCCTACTGTCAGAACCTTAGGCAGGGGCTCCCTAGGGAAAGGCTCCTTCTGGCGTTGATTCCATTTTCATTCCGGGCCTCAGACCCCGGAAAGGTTCAGGGCAAAACATCTAAGAAGGGCCTTTCATTGGCTTCCCCTGCTCCCGCCCTCATGACCTTTGCCCTCCTACCGGGCCACCTGATTGGTTGCTCGTATCCCGCAGTAGCTTCATTGGCTCTTCCTCTTTGCCTCTGCTGCACTGGTCTCCATCTCCCAGCAGAAGGCGCAGCCATGAATCCGTTATTTGGTCCCAACCTCTTCCTCCTACAGCAGGAACAGCAGGGCTTAGCCGGGCCACTGGGAGACCCTCTGGGAGGTGACCACTTTGCCGGGGGAGGGGACCTGCCCCCGGCTCCGCTTGCCTCCTCCGGCCCGCCTGCCTATTCGCCTCCGGGTCCTGGTCCGGCGCCCCCTGCAGCCATGGCTCTCCGCAACGACCTGGGCTCCAACATCAACGTGCTCAAGACCCTGAACCTCCGGTTTCGCTGCTTCCTAGCTAAGGTACACGAACTAGAGCGTCGGAATCGGCTGCTGGAGAAGCAGCTGCAGCAGGCTCTGGAGGAGGGTAAGCAGGGCAGGCGGGGCCTGGCCCGCCGTGACCAGGCGGTACAGACCGGCTTCATCAGCCCGATCCGGCCCCTGGGGTTACCCCTGAGCGCCCGGCCGGCCGCCGTGTGCCCCCCGTCAGCGCGCGTGCTGGGCTCTCCCGCCCGCTCGCCAGCCGGACCCCTCGCATCCTCTGCGGCCTGCCACTCCTCCACCTCTTCCTCCTCTTCCACCTCCGCCTCGACCCGCTTCATGCCCGGCACCATCTGGTCCTTCTCACACGCCCGCCGCCTTGGACCGGGACTGGAACCCACGCTGGTGCAGGGGCCTGGCCTGTCTTGGGTACACCCTGACGGGGTGGGCGTCCAGATCGACACTATCACCCCCGAGATCCGTGCGCTGTACAACGTGCTGGCCAAAGTGAAGCGGGAGCGGGACGAGTACAAGCGAAGGTAGGGACAGGGTTCAAGACATGCCACACACAGATGTAACCTCGGGGCGGGCGGGGGTGGGGGTTAGCGGGGCTTCCCAGACTGGAGAAGGGGAGTGTGGTGGGGGAGGGAGGGAGCAGTCCTGGCAAGAGGAGTGAATTCCCTTCTGTGATCTGAGGGGCGTGGAAGGATTTGGATGTAGAGGGTCCCCAGAATCCACACACGGTTCTCAAGTCAGACTCGTGACCAGAAGCGTTCTAGAACACTGGGAATTCGTACTTTTCTTCTGGCATGACTCTCCTGTCTTGCGCAGGCTGCGGTGTTTGCATGACGCTGCTAACTTGTGGGGTGCTGTGTTGTGGTATGAAAGGGAGACGCATCCCAGAGGGCTCTGCATCCGTGGGCCTTGATCATCTGGATCTGGCCAGTCCCAGACCTTGGGACAGTTTCAGGCTATAAACTCCATGCATGAGTCGAAGGATGTAGCTTTAATATTGGAGGCAAAAATGAAGTGAAATTGAGGGCGGGACTGGACCCGCAGCCCAGGGTTGCCCCTAAGGCACGCTGGCGGTGGAAGCCAGGTCTCACCCTGATTCCCTGTGAGAGGCTCAAGGGCTACAGAACCTAAAGCCATTGCTTGGAACAGTCAAACAGACCGGAAAAGAGAAAAGTAAAAATAAAAAAGAGCGCTCCCAGGGCGAGGGTTTCCTAGGACAAGGAGAAGGGATGGTTGTCCAGGGCTGGTGGGGAGACTCCGGCAGAAGAGGCCTGAACAGAGAGAAGCAGCAGGGGCACTAAGTAGGGAAAAGTTGGGAACACGGGCACACCCTACAGTGACATCCCAGGTCCAGCCCAGTGCAGTCTGAGGATGAAGGTTTGGCTTTCTGAGAGGAGCCCCGCCCCCAGCAGGTTGGCACAAGAGATAAGAGGAAAGGATGTCAGATTGGAGTGCTGGCTATATATCCCAGGAGGATTTGCCAGGCAGCTGCTACCCAGGCAACAGGGCGAGACCAGAGGCAGAGAAGTCCTTTGAAGGTGGGCCAGGCCGTGGTTGGGGAGGAAGTACATGGCCATCAGAGGGAGGCCCAGGCTTCGGGGCTCCAGTTTCTTATCTACTGTGGCCCTTTTGGGGGTAGCCCGGACTGTCCGGGCAGGCCAAGTGGCAGGGATTACTGTCTGGTTAGCCATGTGTGAGGACCATCTGGAGTCCCCAAGGAACACGCCGATGGGGCTGGGGTGAACTTGAGGTAGCTGGTCACCTGTTAGCATCCCCCAGATGACGTTCATCAGCAGACTTCCTGAGGTTCAGCCCTCGGCCTGGCTTCCATGACCGTGGCCCATGTCAGAACTGACTTCGGGCGTCCAGTTATCCCAGCCTCTAAGGTACCACACAGAACCTGCCTGTAGCTGGCTCTGCCCCTGTAGGGCTTAGCATAGTGAATAGAACACTGGCAGTTCCCGAGTTCTGCCACAGTCAGAGGAGCAGCTGCCCCTGTCCAAGGCATCTTTTCCAACAGAGGGTATTTGTCCTTGGTGCAGCTGTCCAGGGCAGCGAAGAGTTACTCCTGGCGGACTGATGTGCTCAGCACTCTGCAGCATGCTGCTGTGCAGAGGGCGCAGTGGCTAGAATTGCAAGGTTCCTGACTCTCACCCTTCCACCCCAGAGCCCCTGCCTTCCTTCTGGGCTTGTTAGAGCAACACTGTGCTTACCATCTTTAGCCTGGACGGCATGGGCGCTTGAGTGCTACACTAGGCAGGGGCAAAGCTTCCCTCCTCCCCCTCCTATTTTCCGCTTCTTTTGCCTGTGTGACCTTTTTTCTTGGGGCTCAGTTTTTCTTTTTTTTTCCTTTCTTTTTTAAACAGAGTTTCTCTGTGTAGCCTTTGCTGTCCTAGACTCACTTTGTAGACTAGGCTGGCCTCGAACCCACAGAGATCCGCCTGACCCTTTCTCCCCGAATGCTGGGATTACAGGTGTGCGCCACTGTGCCCTGCTTGGGGCTCAGTTTTTCCAACACAAGAATGTCCCCTGCTATTTCTCTTCAACTCACAGACAGGGTTTATTTTCAGGAGAGGCTGTTGGTAAATGGAGGATATACAGAAATTGCCCAGATTCTACCCAAGTTACGGGAACCTTGCAAAAAAGAAAAAGGATGAGATTTGCATAGAGGTCACACTGTACCCATTTGTGTGTCCGGGTAGAGAGCAAATAGAATCCTCATGAGCATCTAGACTCATCTTCAGACTTTTACCCTGTATAATTTATGTCATTTATCTTATCAGCATCTCGCTCTAACTTTCTCACGCTTCACTTGGGTTTATTGAGTTTATTATCAAGGAGGACTTCTGGCCCTGCCCGATGCATCTTGGCTGGAGTTTTAACCTCTTATCCATCCCGCGTGCTTCCTCTAGAGGCACACAGGATGCCACATCCCATAGTTGTAGATGAAGAAACCAAGGACCAGCAAAGACGAAGGCCTTATCTAAGAAATTATGTAGCTTGACAAGGCTCTCAGAGTCACCCCTGCGAGAACAGAAGGCGAAACAGTTGCGGGGGAGTGGAGGGCTGCCAGGGAAGGGGAGAGTGGGTGAGGGAGGCCAACAGCTGAGTGGCAGCCTGGTCAGCTGCAGGGTGGTGGCTAGGCTGGCTGCCTCCTCCCCCCAGCCAACTGGGAGGGGCAGCTGGGGAGTTATTATTAGGAATACTGCAGTGCGGCTGTGAGTGCACAACATGGGAGAGCAAAGAGACACGGAACCCGAGAGGGTGATGGGCGGGAGAGAGGAGGGAAGGGGCACAGATTGCTTAGTCCTGACTGCAGAGGCCGTCCTCTGCTGGTCCCTTCCCACTGAGCTCACTTTGAGCCTCCTCTTTCAGCTCCCTTGCCCTCCTTTCTGAGGCCAGAAGAAGCCTATGCCGACACAGCCAGAAGTGATGAGCTCATGGGCACAGGCTCTGAGTCTGGCTGCTGGCTCAGCCAGCCTCGAGTTCTGAACCTACAGGGCCGAGCAGCACCCCCTGCCTTCCATCTCTTTATGACAGGGTGGCATGTGCACCCAGCCCTCCTGCCGCATGACAAGTGTGGCTTCCAACCTCCTGGCAAGCTTTGGTTTAAACTCGGGGGTGAGAGATGCTATGCCACTTGGACGCGCTTTCTCACTCACACACTGGTTCCCTTTCCCCTGGGTGTGATTGCTCGTCGGTCCTTAGCTTCTGATGGCCACTTCTTTCACGCTGTTGGGGGGACATCACGCCAGTCCTGTGGCCTTCTTATAGCTCACTTCAAGGGGCTGGGTGGGGGAGGACTTTGCCCCCAACAAGGTAGCTGAGCAGCTCTTGATCCAGCCTGTGTCCCGCAGATGCTTTCACAGGTTTAAATGGTACCCAGGAGGCAGGGCAGCAGGCTTAACAAGCTCTGTTCTGTGCGGGCAGGAGCGGGAAACCGGATCTGTGCCACTGAAGGTGGGAGACTGGGTTCTGGGGGGACCTGGTGGACTGGTGTGGGCAGGAGGTGGGGGAGGAAACCATCCAGACAGCTGGCGGAACTGGGCCCATGTGGGGATTGGTACTGCAGAGGGCCAAAGTGGAGGCGGTTGGGCTTAAATATAGTTCCTGGTACAGGGTCCGGAGGTTCCGGGCAGGCAGTCGGTGAGCTCGGCCCTTGCCAGGAGGTATGGAGCCACCCAACAGCTGCAGCTGTCCACTGGCCGGCTGCCCGTGCATTCTTGTCTTAAATTCCAGCTCAGGGAGCCAGACCTGAGGCCTGACGCCTGGGCCTGAGAGGGAGGGCTAGGAGCCATAGAGGCAGGAGGGACTCTAGGCTGTGCTCTCTCCCCCTTCCCAATGTCTGTCAGGTGGGAAGAGGAATACACAGTGCGGATACAGCTGCAAGAGCGAGTGAATGAGCTCCAGGAGGTGAGGGTGGCCACCCCACTGCCCCTGCTTCCCCGGGGCACCACTGGGCCCTCTCCCTGCCCCTCCCACGCCGTTTCCCACGTTGTCATCATGTCCCCATTCCCCCCTGGCTGTAGGAGGCCCAAGAGGCTGATGCTTGCCAAGAGGAGCTAGCCATGAAGGTCGAGCAACTGAAAGCCGAGCTGGTGGTCTTCAAGGGGCTCATGAGTAATGTGAGTTCAGCCTCCCCACGTGGCTCTCAGGGATCCTCAGGTGCTCTGCTGCTCCTGGCCCTCCGGTGTCCCGAGTGCCACCCGTCCCTTCCCTTCCCTGTCCTCCCTGGCTTTAGCTCTCTGCCAGTATCTCCATTCAGTAGACAGAGAAGCTGCTGCTGCCCTGTTTTGGAGGCAGGGTGCATGGCCTCATCACCTCAGGAAGTTGTTAAGCTGTCGGGAAGAGCACAGCCCTGAACTCTGTGTGTGCTCATACCCATAACCCTAGCACCCAGGAGGTGGCGGCAGAATGATCAGAAAGATGAGGAATTCGATTCCAGCATCAACTGTGTTTTGTTTTGTTTGTTTTTTAATGTGCACAACTCTGGAGCCAGCTGCCTGGGCTCATTTGTGAATTCTGCCACTTGCTAGCTGTGTGGCCTTAAACCTCTCTATTTCCCACCATAACTCCTCCCCGTCTCATCTGTGGGGTGTGGAAAAGAAAGGCAAGGTCATTTCAGGGTTGTCCTGAAGAGGACAATGGTCCTGGCTGGTGCTTAGTGCTAGACAGTGAGACAAGCGTCATGTCATTATTCCATACTTTCTCCTCTCTCTTTCTCTTTCTCTCTTTGAGACAGTTTCTCTGTATAACAGCTCTGGTTGTCCTGGAAATTGCTTTGTAGACCAGGATAGCCTCAAACTCTCAGAGATCCCCCTGCCTTTTCTGGAATTAAAGGCATATACCAAGCCAGGCATGGTGGTATCCCAGCATTCAGGGAGGGAGAGGCAGGGGAAATCTCTCTGAATTCCAGGCCAGCCTGGTCTACAAAGCAAGTCTGGGACAGCCAAGGCTACCCAGAGAAACCCTATCTTGAAAACAAAACAAATGTGCCCCCACCACCCGCTGTCATTCCCAGTGGTCTCTTTCACCTCTGGGGACTTAAATTTCAGGAGGATAAAAGACAAAGCAAAACAAAACAAAAACCCGTTGTTGGTTCAGGGGAGGCCCCGCTCAGCCCAGCCGAGGCCGAACCCTCCCAAGTCTGTGCTGGCGGGGGTCCAGAATCATAAGCCATGCAGTGGATGTGCATGGCGTGCTAGGGTGACCCCTAGGAAAAGGGATGTTGATCCAGCAGGTCAGGGACTTTGTGGTGACAGTGGGGTGCTCGAGGCCCTGTCAGTCCCTCACTCTTTCTGGTGTCCCTGGTACAGAATCTGACAGAGCTGGACACCAAGATCCAGGAGAAGGCCATGAAGGTGGACATGGACATCTGCCGTCGCATCGACATCACAGCCAAGCTGTGCGACTTGGCTCAGCAGCGCAACTGCGAGGATATGATCCAGATGTTCCAGGTGAGAGGCCTGCTGTCCGCAGCTCTCAGGGGCTGGGCAGGGCAGAGGAGCTTCTCTTATGGCTGGCCTGGAGCCTAGGCCCTGCTGCCCTTCACCCTGGGACACATCTTGTCCCCTGGGACCCTTGGTGGGACTAGGCTGGGAGGCAAGGAACAGCCTAAGGAGAGAGGTTTTAGAAGCCATCTCTAACTCCATCTCCCCCTCTGTCTGCTTCTCTCCTCTCTGTTCCTCTCATCTTTTCTCTTGCTTTCTCCATAGAAGAAGCTGGTTAGTGTGACCTCACGCAAGCTTATTGTCCCGGTCCCCGTCTCTAAGCCACCCCGCCCTCAGTTTTGAGGGCTCCTCAGCACAGATGTCTTCTTCCCTGTCTGTTTTCCTCACTCTTCCTCTTTTGAGTTTTCTCCTTTTCCTTCTCCCACGGGCCTTCCAGATCTGGAAGCAATTCAAGTTCTCCTTAGTAAACAGGAGCCTCCTGTCTTCCTCACAGCCTAGAACTGTGTTCACTTGACTCCTTTCATGAGAAAGACTTCGAAACCAAACCAAACCCAATTCCTCCATAGCCATGAAACACACCCTTTTTTGTTTTCGAAAGATTTGTTTTGCGTGTATGGATATTTTGCCTCCATAATGTCTGGACACCACACGAGTGCCTAGTGTCTGAGAATACCAGAAAAGGCCATTGGATTCCCTTGGAACTGGAGTTGTGGAGGGCCCTGAGCCGCCATGTGGCTGCTGGGAATTGAACCTGGGTCCTCTGGAAGAGAGCATCCAGTGCTCTTAACCACTGAGCCACCTCTCCACCTCCCCTTAAACACATCTTAATGTGCTCATCACAAGCTGTTTCTCTCCTTATCTTACTGCTCTGTTTTCTGTTTCTCCTTCTTCCTTCTTCGTGCGCAGTCCTGCCCTATCTGTGTGTGTCTTCCGTGTCTGTTCCTGTCGTGTAACTGTGTCTCTTCTCTGTCTGCTCCTCCTCTCCTGCTGGCCCTGCTCCACCCTGCGGCCTCCCTGCCCACCCTCTCCTCATGCACCCGGCCTCGCCTCTGTAGTCTCTACACTTGTCTCCCATTAAGGTCCCGTCCATGGGGGGGCGGAAGCGGGAGCGCAAGGCTGCTGTGGAGGAGGACACCTCCCTGTCGGAGAGTGATGGGCCCCGCCAGCCTGAGGGTGACGAGGAGGAGAGCACAGCCCTCAGCATCAACGAGGAGATGCAGCGCATGCTCAGCCAGCTGTGAGTCCCGCAGGTCTCCCCCCTCGCCAGCTCCCCCCAGGTCCCCGAGGCCAGCCCACAGGTCCCTTCCCTCACCAGATGCACCCCAGCTCCCCAAGTCCCAGGTCCCCTGAGGCCAGCCCGCTGTCCCTCCCAGCTGTCCTCACCAGATGTGCCCCAGTCCCCCGAGGCCGGAGCTCCCATAGTGCCCTGTGCCCACTCAGGCCCCAGCACCCTTGACACACGGGTTCCCTGTCTCTAGGAGGGAGTATGATTTTGAGGACGACTGTGACAGCCTGACTTGGGAGGAGACTGAGGAGACCTTGCTACTTTGGGAGGATTTCTCAGGCTATGCCATGGCAGCCGCAGAGGCCCAGGGAGAGGTAACCTCCCCTCCTGGCCTCAGGCCCCTCAGGCTCTGCCTCTGTATCCTGCCACGCCATCTGCCTCCTCTTCTCATGCTCTGTCCCCAGTGTGGCTTTCGTCTTCCCCTGGCTTCTCCCCGTTTCTGTTCCCGTTCCTTTTCTGTTCTGTCTCGTCTAACCAGACTTTCTCTCTCTTTCCACCTTGGCCCATGGAATGCCCCTATCTTGTCCCTCCCTGGTTGGCCGCCCCTCGCTGCTTCCCTTTCTCCAGCAGCAGGAGGACAGTCTGGAGAAGGTGATTAAAGATACCGAGTCCCTGTTCAAAACCCGGGAGAAGGAGTACCAGGAGACCATTGACCAGATAGAGGTAAGGACAGTCGGGGCTCTCTTCCCAGGCCTCACAAGCCAGGCTGTAGACGTGCTCCCTGCTAGACCCCAAGACCAGGAGCTCCTATCTGTTGGCAGGAGGAGCGACCCCCCTCAGTTGTGGTAGCTCTAGCAGGTCCTTGAGCCCTCAGGATGTGGAGGCAGATAGATACGGGTTCAAATATTGGCTCTGTTACAACTTGGAACAAATCTTTTGTCTTCCTTCCATTGTTTCTATTTATTTATTTATTTTTAGATTTATTTATTTATCTTGTGTATGCTTGTTCTGCCTGCATGTATACCTGCATGCCAGAAGAGGGCATCAGATCCCAGTATAGATGGTTGTGAGCCACTGTGTTGCTACGAACTGAACAACTGAACGCAGGACCTCTGAAAGAGCAGACAGTGCTCTTAACTGCTGAGCCAACTCTCTAGCCCTCTTTCTATTTATTTCACATATATTTATGTATGTATGTGCTAGGATTATGGGCATGAACTATCACACTTCTTCTTTTTTTCCTTCCTTGGGCCTTCCTCCTTTCCTTTGTGTGTGTGTGTGTGTGTGTACAGATGTGCACACGTGTGGAGCCCAGAAGACAAACTCAGGTAGTGTTCTTTAGGTGTGGTTAACTTAAAAAAAAAAAAAAAAAGTTGGTCTCTCACTGGTCTGGGATTTGCTGAGTAGACTAGGCTGGCCAGGGAGCCCTAGGCATCTGTCTCTCCATGCCTCTTTAGTTTTGGGATTACAAGTATGTTCTGCACCATCTAGCTTCTTTCTTATCTGGGTTCTGCGCTCAAACTTAGATCTTCATGCCTGTCAGGCAAGCACTTCACTGAGAAAACCCCAGCTAGCTCCTTCATTCTTTTGAATTTTATTATTATTAGTAGTAGTATTAGTATTTTGATATAGGCTCTCTCACACACACATGTGGGCACAAATTTGTTCTGTCTGTCTCCTTTTTTTTCCTGTGTCTCAGTATTTTAGGTGTGTATGTACCCTGGAGGCCAGAAGAGGTCTTCAGATCCCCTGGAGCTATAGCTCAGCTGTGAATGTGAACCTGACATGGGTGCCAGAAAAATTCAGGTCCTCTGCAAGAGCAGGGCTCCAAACTTACTGAGCCGTCTCTCTAGGCTCACATACAAGATTTTTCTATGTAGCCAGGCTGGCCTCAAATTTGAGGCAATCCTCCTGCCTTAGCCTGCTGGAGTTACTGCTGTTTCCCGCCATGCTCATCTCGGGCCTGTCTCTCTTTTTGTCAAATGGAGATGTGCATGCTAATCTGTCCCGGCAGGCAGGGTTATTAAGCCGATCAGATAGAGCGAGACCCGTGCTGGTTAGGACAGGATCCGGCATGTTGACAGGCCGAGGCGTGCGCTGTTTATTACCGGAACACCCTAGGTGCTGTGGCACTCAGGGGAACTCCTTGGCTCCTTGGAGGAGTCTCCCTTTGGTTTTTTTTTTTTTTTTTTTTTTTTGAGCCTTAGGGAGTCCTTTATAGATGGTGATGGATCTGGGGTTCTGACTGTCCTGCTGGACTGCAGGAAGGAGGTCTCTGTCAGAGGAGGGTTGGACGGGGCTGTGTGAGGTGGTTGTGTCCTGGACACTGACGGGGAAAAGCAGGAGGAGACTCCGCCACCCACCTCCCTGCAACCCTTGTGTGTTCCCGTGCCTGTGGGGCTCCCCCTGATTGAAAGTGATTCCCCTGGGTTTGCAGTGTCCCAGTCCACGTCAAATGGCCATGCTAAACCTAAGCAAAACCAGGGTTTCTGTTTTTAACCCAGAGGCCCAGCCAATGTTCTGCCGCCAGCTGAGGTTTGCCTGGGGCCAAGTGATCCTCTCCCACCTTCTCCTGTCCACTCCTCTTACTGCCCCTTTCCTTCCTCTTTCCTGCCCTCCCTCCCTGGGCTGGACCCACCTCTTTTGGATGGTAGGTTTAAGGCTCAGTTTCTTCTGTACGTCAGCCAGGTAGGGGTCTTCACGCCGTGATCAGAGCCTGCTACTCTTCTCTGGTTCATCCCTTAGGCCACAAATGACTAATGAAAACAGGATCTGGTGAGACAGAAAAGAGCACCCCGGGCTGGGGCTGGGGCTGGGGCTGGGGCTGGGGCTGGGGCTGGGGCTGGGGCTGGGGCTCAGTTGGTAGAATGGCTGCCTAACAGGCATGAAGCCCTGGGTTTGATCCCAGCACAGCATGAAGCTAGCTAGGTGTGGTGGTGGCACAAGCCTTTAGTCCCAGCACTGAGAGACAGGCAGGAAGATCTCTGTGAGTTTGAGGATAGCCTGGTCTATAGTGCTAGTTCCAGGACAGCCAGGGCTACACACAGAAACCCTGTTTAAAAAAAAGCCAAAAAAATAAAAAATAAAATTAAAAAAGAGAAAGAAAAAGAACGGAAACATGGTTTGAAGCTGTCCCTGAGTTGTATGACTTCTGTCCTCTCCCGGAAGAATGACTTGACTTGAGGAAAGCAGAGGAAGCTCACTTGGTAGCTTTGGTGGCTCCTGGGGTCCACCTGGGGTATCTTTTGGGCCTTTATTTTTGTGACCCTTGACCTCAGAGTTAATTGAGATAGAGGCAGGTCAGCCCCGTTATTGGGTGGGAAAGCCAGGTGCTGGGTGGGAGTTCTCTTCCACAGCCCTGACCCTTTCATCTCTCCCACCTACCTCTAGCACTCTGGTCTCCCACAGTGAGTCTAGAATTTTGGGGTGATCCCTCTTCAATGTGTAAATTAGGGTGACATATGACACTCAGACATCTGTTGGTAGTACTGCTTTATGCTTTGAGAGACCATTTTTGCTTCACTTCTGTGTCTTAGAATAATGGGTTCTCGCCTTGTCTCCTGCAGTCTTCCTGAGGAAGAAGTATGTGTGTGTGTGTGTGTGTGTGTGTGTGTGTGTGTGTTTCAGTTGATCTCTGACCTGGAGTACTGTGTGTGTCTGTGGGTAGGTGGTGGCTGACCTCTGACCTGCAGTGTCATGTTTTTCTCACTGACGGCACAGTCTGCTGTGGGAACAAGCATGCCCTTCAAGCCATCTCCACCATGGCTTACAACACAGCTGACCACCAGATGACCTGGCATGCCAGTGTCCCGGCTGTCCTCTTTGTCTGCTCCGGTGGCTCCTGTCTCTCTCTCTGCCTGTTCCCACCCTCTGCCCAGTTCACATTTGTTGCGGCTGGCTTCCTCACTGCCCATTCATATGCTTCACAGCCACTCTTCTGACTTCTGGTTGCTCTCAGGCAGCCAAGCAAACCGCCCCGCAGCAGTTTGAGTCTCCCCTCCTGGCCCCTGGCCTTTGTACCCAAAACAAAGAGAGGCAGCCGATTGTCTCTGCCCTAGATACTTTTTCCGCCTCAGCCTACTTTTTCTCTGCCTCCAAAGCCGGCTGCAGAGAGCCTTGGGCGGAGACTTTTCTTGATGCAGAGACCTCAGTTTGGAAGTCTATCTTACATGGGGTTTAGGTTTCCCCCATTACAGTGAGTCTTGGGAATACTTCCCAGTGAATTAGCTCTGGTTGAGGGAGGGCTCCGTGGCGGAGAAGGAGCGATGAGCAGGACTCTGCCTGCCCTCGAAGCCGCAGTTCCCCGCCTTCCTAATGCTGGACGCTCTAATACAGCTCCTCATGTCCTGGTGACTTTCCTAACTTAGCGTCACATTATTTGGTTGCTACTTCATAACTAGAGTTTTGCCACTGTCAGGAATTGGAGTGTAAGTATTTGATACGAAGGGTAGCCGATATGTGATCTCCCAAAGGAGTCGAGATCCAGAGGTTGAGAACCACCGCCTCAAAGACACTGAGTTCACAAGTGGGTTGAGGGAGGCCAGTGTGCCGTACAGAACCAAGGTGAGCTGAGCCACAGAAACCCAGGAAGGAGCCAGGAAGCAAAGGCGTCCCACACACCTCCGCTTCTGCTTCTGCTTCTGCTCCTGCAAATGAAGTCCACTCTGTCCCGTGCACACTGACAGCCCTTTCCTCGATACTTTCTGTCTTTCTCTTTTGGGAGCCCTAGGGGTTGAAGCCAGGACCTGTGCTGAGCAAGTTCTCTTCACAGAGCTACTTTTTGTGTTTTTGAAATAGGGTCTCTCCTGTAGCTCAAGCTAGCTTCGAGCTTGCTATAGCCCAGGCTGACCCTCAACTTCTGATCTTTCTGCCTCCACCTCCCTAATGCTGGGATTAGATGTGTGTTACAGGTCCAGTTTCTGTGGTGCTGGGGATCAGACATTCGGTTTTGTTGCATCCTGGGCAAGCATTCTACCATCCCAAGTCTCTCCATGCTGTTAAACACCTTTCTAAAAATTAAATTATTATTATTATTATTATTGTTTTTTGTGTGTGTCTACCTGCCATGGTACATGTGTGGAGGTCAGAGAACAATTTGGAGTTGGTTCTCTCCTTCTGCCATGTGGCCTCTTGGTATCAAATGCAGATTGACAGACATGTGCAGCAAGGACCATTTGTCCTGTCTTCTTTCCCCCTTTTTGAGACCAGGTTTTACTATTTAGGTTCTAGGTTTATATCAAACTGGCCTTGACTTCATGACCTTCCTGCCTCACCTCCTGAGTGTTGGCGTTATGGGGGTGCTCACACTACCATGCTTTTATCGCTCTCTAAAAAAGAACTCGGGCCGGTCCGCACGCCTTTAAGCTCAGCACTCGGGGAGGCAGAGGCAGTCAGATCTCTGTAAGTTTGAGACCAGCCTCGTCTACCAAGTGAGGCTAGGACAGCCAAGGCCATAGAGAAACCCTGTCTCAGACCAATCAACAAACAAAAAACCTCAGACATCCAACTGATTCTTGGGAGCCAGGGGTAATAGAGATTCCCGGAGAGGGCTGAGTATGGAACACTGTCCTGAGCCCTTGCCTGGCCAGAGTGAGGGCCTGACAGTAGATTGCCAATTAGTCTTCCCCCTCCCCCCCCCCACCATTCCTAGGGAAAAGAGTCATTTGTAGTGTACTTGATGTTTTCTGCCTGTTTTTTTTGTTGTTGTTTGTTGTTGTTGTTGTTTTTGAAGTCTAAGTCTCTAACTATGGCGGCTTGGCCCCCAGGGCCCCAGCTGGTGCCCTGGTGCCTGCTGGCTCACCCTGGGTTTGCTAACATTGGTCATCCTCCCTGACCCCACCCCGTTGCAGCTGGAACTGGCCACAGCCAAAAATGACATGAACCGACACCTGCATGAGTATATGGAAATGTGCAGTATGAAGCGGGGCCTGGACGTGCAGATGGAGACCTGCCGCCGGCTTATCACACAGTCAGGAGACCGGTAAGGGCCTGCCCTGGACAGCCGTGTCCCTCCCCCAAGGATGAGCCCCGATGGCCTGTGGGCATCGGCCAGCTCATGTCTTTATGTGGAGCTGTCCTTGGGAGTCCCCTGTAGGTGTGGCCCAGATTGATAGCCTCCTCCCCTGCCTTGGCCATCAGGTGGAACTTGCCAGTGTTCCAGTTCTGAGTGCCTGAGAGCCCAGACCTGGCAAGGGACAAAGGGATACAGGGGCAGGTTTTGATCCAAATCAAAACCACGCCTTACGTATTTGACCTTGTGTCAGAGTAAATTTGGGGTTTGGGAATATAGCTGTGTGTTAAGAGTACCTGTCTAGCCTTTAAGGCCCTACGTACACACACACATACAGACAGACACACACACACACACACACACACACACACACACACACACAGAGTAAAATTAACAAAACAAAACTGTAATCCGGGCATAGTGGAATAAGTCTGTAGTCCAGTACTTGGAAGGCAGGATTGTGGTGAGTTTTAGGCTGTCCTGGACTATAGCAGCAACGTCTTGTCTCAAACAAAACGAAACAAAACAGCAACAACAACAAACAAAATCCAAGGACCTACAGTAAGCCAGGTGTGGTGGTGCACGTGTGTCATTAAATGCATAGGAGCCACAGGCAGGTGGATTCCCACAAGTACTCGTCCAGCCTTACCTCTGTATAGAGTTCCAGGCAAGCCCGGAATGCCTGCTGACCCTGTCTCAAAACAAAAAAACCCAACCCAATCCCCCACATTATAGTTAGCTGGGCAGAGTGTGCATGCTTACAGGGTTTACTGGCCTTTGCTTCCTTGGAGGCAGGAGGATTGTTTGCACCTAGGAGGTTGGGGTCAGCCTTGGCAACATAGTGAGATGGTCCTGCACCTCCATACCCACCAAGTTACAGCTGGACCGGAAGCTGGGGCGAGTGTCATGTCGGCTCAGGGAGCATCTCTATGCTGTGACTTCAGACTTTTCTGATAGATTAGCTTCTCGGAGCCTCTGAGATAAGAGGCGAACTGTTCCCTATCAGGTTGAATACGGAAGACTTTCTTCCGTCCCTACTTCCCTGCCTGGCGTCCCCCTGTGCCCCAGAAAATAAGGCCATGAGAACAAAAGCACGCTGGCCTCATCAGCCTCCCTCCTTGCCCCAAGGTGACAGCTGGTGTTTCTTCCTAGAAAGTCTCCTGCTTTCACTGCGGTCCCGCTTAGCGACCCGCCGCCACCGCCAGGCGAAACTGAGGACTCGGATCGGGATGTCTCATCTGATAGCTCCATGAGATAGGGCCCAGTGCCTGGTTCCCCAGAGCTCACCGAGGCGGGGCGTGGGTCTGCAGAGGACTGTCTTTTGTGCCACTGCATGAAGCCTGGCCCTGGGGCTTTGTGCTCCCCAGGGTTCTGGGCTGTCTGGAGCTAGGCTGGGCCCCACCCTTCCTGGACAACTCCCATCACATTGGGGTACTTCTGCCTTCCCACGTGGGTATTTGCTACTTCTCCATCTCTTAAACGCTGCCAGAACACCTGTGACCCTCCCCCCTCCATTTTGTAAGGAATGCGATTATGGGACCTCCTGCCTGTATTCCTTGGGTATCCTGGACTTTGGTACTGGTGCTAAGTGGCCCAGGCACGCACTGGTGTGAAGCAGATTCATCCGGGAGTTCCTAAGCGTTTGTGCATCATGTACCCTTGGTGGTGGTGGCGGGGCTTAGCTCCCTAAAGGCCTTACAGGGAGGCAAGGTGCCAGGCATTGCCATGTGGCCAGGTGCTCACAGCTGCCCACTGCAGGGACCTGGCTGTGAAGTCCACACAAAGGGGACTCGGTGCCTGCGCTAGGTCACCTGACAGGAAAAAGGTGAAGCTGCTGCCCACCCGTGTTCGTGCTCAGGGATCAGCCGAGAGAACGCCTCCATGGCTATCACTTGCAAAAACAGGCTAAGCTGTCCCTGATGCCGTAGGGAGACAAAGTTGGACTATCTCCGGAGCCCCTGCAGAGCTTACATTTGAATGGAATCTTTCAAAGCAATGAAGGTGAATATTTATCGAGCATTTGAGTCACTGTTTTAAGCACTTTCTGTGTGATGCCTTCATATGACACAGGTATTTACAAGTCACCCCTCCCCCCCAACCAGAGCATCTACATCTGCCCACCAGGGCCCACACCTGAAGGTGGAGGTGAGGCTTCTGGCACAGGGCAATCACCTCCCTTCACTCATACATTGGCCTAACTGTATTGGGCTCCCTTCCAACTTCACCTGGGTAAAATTAACCTGTTTGCAGATTTGGACACTAGCTGTCCAACCAAAGCCTGTTCCAGTGTCAACCCCCACCCCTCACGGTGGCCTGCTCAGAGCAGGCAGCCTGGCTATCGTGTGGCCCAGGACTCTTATCTAGCATCCAGCTGAAGAGACAATAGAGACGCATGCCCAAGGGTGGAGTCTTCCTAACCTCCCTTGTTGCAGCTTCCCTCCCCAGGCCCCTACAGTAAAGCACAAAGGAGGGTAGGTGCAGTGAGCTTTATTGATGGTATTCAAGAGTAGGGCTCCCTGGGCCCCTCCCGCTACTCTGGGGGTCTGGGATGGAAACCGTGAAGGAGATGCTCAGTGTCAGGGGCTGAGTTGGGACAGGGACTCCTCAGCAGGGCCTCTCTCTTGCTCTTGTGTCCTTGCTGGGGCGGGTGACTGGGGGCTTCTTACTCCTTGGAGGCCATGTAGGCCATGAGGTCCACCACCCTGTTGCTGTAGCCGAACTCATTGTCATACCTAGATTGCATTGGGAGGACTGTTAGTAAGGGCTGTTTTGCTAGACACCAGAGGGCACCAAACCCTGCTACTCCACCGCACCCTCCCCCACATACCAGGAAATGAGCTTTACAAAGTTGTCATTGAGGGCAATGCCAGCCCCAGCATCAAAGGTGGAAGAGTGGGAGTCACTGTTAAAGTCACAGGAGACAACCTGGTCCTCAGTGTAGCCCAGGATGCCCTTTAGTGGGCCCTCGGATGCCTGCTTCACCACCTTCTTGATGTCATCATACTTAGCCTGGGAAGGGCAAAATCAAGGTGACTGTTTGTGCCCCGACCTCACCATTATGCCAGAGACAACCCCAGCCCAACCCAAACATACAGGTTTCTGCAGTCGGCATGTCAGATCCACGACAGACACGTTGGGGGTAGGAACGCGGAAGGCCATGCCAGTGAGCTTCCTGCAGACACAGGGAGATTTGGTCAGGCCAGCTTATCAACCCTCCAATCCCACCCCACCGCCTGCGCAGCAAAACCTCACCCGTTCAGCTCTGGGATGACCTTGCCCACAGCCTTGGCAGCACCAGTGGATGCAGGGATGATGTTCTGGGCAGCCCCACGGCCATCACGCCACAGCTTTCCAGAGGGACCATCCACGGTCTTCTGGGTAGCAGTGATGGCGTGGACTGTGGTCTGGAAAACATGGAGGCAATGAGTCAAGTCTTGCTTGCTACCCCCAACCCAAAAGGGATCTGTAGAGAGAAAGACCTGCTCATGGCAGGGCGGAAAACGCACGAGCTGTCCCCACTGTCTACCTACCATGAGTCCTTCCACGATGCCGAAGTTGTCATGGATGACCTTGGCCAGGGGGGCCAAGCAGTTGGTGGTGCAGGAAGCATTGCTGACAATCTTGAGCGAGTTGTCATACTTCTCATGGTTCACACCCATCACAAACATGGGGGCATCGGCGGAAGGGGCGGAGATGATCACCCTTTTGGCCCCACCCTTCAAGTGGGCCTGTAGAGGAGAAGTTGATTTCAGACTTGGCACTTCCTTCTCAGGCCCCAGCATAGAGGGGTTCCCACCCACTTCATCTTTCCGGACACTTACCCCGGCCTTCTCCATGGTCGTGAAGACACCGGTGGACTCCACAACATACTCGGCACCAGCATCACCCCATTTGATGTTGGCGGGATCTCGCCTGAAAGTGGGGGAGCAGGACAAAGTTGATGGACAGGAGTGCCACGGACCAGACAGTGGCGTCCCATCCCAGGCGACAGGGAACTAACAGCCCCCTGTCTAGTTCCCACACATACTCCTGGAAGATGGTGATGGGTTTGCCGTTGATGACCAGCTTCCCGTTCTCAGCCTTGACTGTGCCGTTGAACTTGCCGTGGGTAGAGTCATACTGGAACATGTAGACCATGTAGTTGAGGTCAATGAAGGGGTCATTGATGGCCACAATCTCCACTTTGCCACTGTTGAAGGCAGCCCTGCAAACCAGGCGCCCAATACGGCCAAATCTGAGGGCAAGAAAAAAGGCAAGCTGGGATCAGAGAACTCCTCTCGGGTCTGTGGTAGGCACCAGGCCAACCCACGCGCTTCAGAAAGCAGAATGCGGTTGTCCCATAGGTGTGGAAAGTGCATAGCAGCCAGTTATACACGTCATAACAAAGGCAGTTTTTATGGAGATTCAACAGCATTAGAAGGGGAGCATGAAATTTCCGCCCGCTTTGCTCGGAATTTCCTGATAAAGCTGGTTAGATGCTCACATGTAGAACCCTGACATTCATTGCCCCCCCCCCCGAAAAGTCCCCAAAAGTCTAATTTCATCTTCCTTAAGCAACCCCAGACTGCTGGGGCTTTTACTCCACGGCCATAAAGTGGTGCTTCCTTTCCTGTCCAAGAGGTGATTGGGCTCAAAGCCTTGCCCAGCACCCACCCAAGCCACTTCAAGTCTCTTAAGGGGCAAGTGCCCAGTCTGGGCACAGGCGCAGCACATGCCATCCATCCCCACCGCCCATGCCTGGGGAAGCTGGTTCCAGCCTGGCCCGGCTTCAGGCTGCTCCCCGTCAGGACAGACTTGTGCACTCAGCATCACCAAGCTCAAAGGGCAAGGGTAAAGGTCAGAATGAGCAGGCGGGGTCAGCCCACCTGTTTCCTGCAAAGTCCCTCCCACTACAGGGAAAAAAAAAAAAACAAAAAAATCCAGTGGCTTCCCAAGCCCCAATCCCAGGGCTGATTTGCAAGACACCTAGCTGAAAATCAGAGCAGGAAGAACAGATGTGTGTAGGGGCCAGCAGGGTGGTGAGCCGAGCTCAGACCCCAATACAGAAAGGTCAGCCAGCTAAATTTAACTTCAGATTAGGGTGGAGTGGAGAGATCTGGTTTCTGAAGGATGGAATGGGGAGAAGGGCAGCATCCTGAGGTTCCGAAGACACCCAATCCTCTTAGTGACCTTTACAGCCTTGGCCTATAGGGTTTGGGTCAGTGCTAGGCTATGATGGGAAGCGAAGGTAACGGAGGGAAGGGGCCGCTACTACCGGAGCCATTTTGTGGTGGAAATTTTTTCTTTTCGGAACCACCATGACTCAGCTCCTCTCCCCCCTCCCTCACCCCACTTGGCACTACGCCATAACTACCACACCTCTGAGGCTTGGAGGAGGACAAGTGGACCTGTTTAAGTCTGCTACGAGTCTAAGAAAATAATCTAGAAAATGCATCCGCCTGAGGTTAAAAAATTAAAAACAAACAAAAAAAATCAGGCTTGAAGGTTGCTCTAAAGGCTACTAAGATGAGCCGGATTGAGGCAGAACTCTCTAGAGAGCACGGAAGCCTTGCATCACCTGGCTTACAGGACAGAGACTCCGCCCGGCTGAGTGGGAAGGTTAGTCACAGGCTATGAAGGAGGAAGGCCGAAGGAAAGTTTCCTAACGGTGGTTCATTCATTTCCTTCCCGTTTGCAACATGGCGGCGGCCAGTTACCCCTTAGGAGATGATGCGCAAAGGCATGCACCTCACATCCCCGGGCCACCGACGGGGAGGAGGGGGTCGGTGGGGGGAGGGGTTCCCGCTCTGCCACGTGACTCCTCAGAGCGCGAAAGTAAAGAAAGAAGCCCCAGCCAGGGGATTAGGGGAACGGATCCTGAGTGGGCGGGGGATGGTCCTCCCATTAAGACTCCGGGCTGCTCATCCCCGCAAGGGCGGAGTTACCGGAGGCGCAACAGCTGGGGGCCGCCAGTGCGAGCCCTGGCCAGGTCCGAGCGCTGACCTTGAGGTCTCCTTGGGTTCTGCGGCCACCCCATCCGACTCCCCAGGCTACCGCGAAGCCCGCGGGGTCAGCCAGACCTGCCTACGGGGAGCCCCACCCTAGAACTCACCCGTTCACTCCGACCTTCACCATCGTGTCTCAAGGATGAGGCTGCGGGAGAAGAGAGCGAGGTCAGTGTGGCCCGAGGCGCACCAGGCGGTCGTGTCCTCCCCCCCACCTCGCCGCCGCCGCCACCATTCCCGCCGCGCGCCCCATCACGTCCTCCGCCAGCCCCTGCAATGCGGCGCCCGGGCTCGGTCTGGCGGATCTCGCCCCAGCGTCCCCAGATCCGGCTAGCGTGCGCCCGCTCCCCAACTCCCGACCGTCCCCGGCCTCCTGCGGCCCACGCTTGAGTTTTCTTTTCACCTGGCACTGCACGAAGAGATGCGGCTGTCTCTGGAACAGGGAGGAGCAGAGAGCACTGGGGAGGGCTGCAGTCGGTATTTATAGGAACCGGGATGGGGTGGGGGGAGCCGATGACGTGCGCCCCGCCTCCCTCCCTGCTCGTCCAGTCCCAGCTCAAGGGCGCTGCGGCCTGAGCTACGTGCACCCGTAAAGCCGCGAGTAGCTGGGCCTCTTTTTTTTTTTTTCTTCCTCCCCCCTCCCCCTTTGGACCCGCCTCGTTTTTGAAATGTGCACGCACCAAGCATGTGGGCTTCGGGCTGAGAGGGGGAGGGGAGCTGAGATTGGCCCGCTGTGGAGGTGACCCGGGGATGGTTCTCAGTGTAGGACTGAGGGAATACCGACTGGACCTAAGGACTAGCGCCCGGTGTGCACCAAAGACATCCAGGGCCCAGAGACCTGAAACTTGCCCCCCGAATAAATTGGGAGGACCTTGGGAGATGCAGGGATGGGGGAAATGGAGAAGCGTGGGTCTGTCCACCGCTGCGCCGACGACCCTCTCTTTATGAGGGTTGAGGATCTTCTCGTTGTTCTTTGGTAGTGACACAGGCCAAAAAAAAAAAAAAAAAAAGGCAGAAGAAAAGTCCCGAAGGGGGGCGGGGGGGCCACTCCGCCTCCTGCGGGGGTCCTTCGCAGCCCTATTTTCCCATCTTCCTGCCGCCTGGTTTCCATTCTCCTGGGAAAGAGGGCCCCGACTGGGCTGTGAGGGCAAGGAGGAGGCTAGGGGAGAATCGTGAAGGGGAGGTTCCTCCGCTCAAACAGCCTGGAGACCTGATAACTGAGACTTACAAACACTTCTCTGTGCTCAGCAGCTGAGGCCTGTGCTGGGTCCCCGGGGTAAGGACAGCCATCCCTGCTGAGGGTTTGGTTGGAACAGTATCCCTCCTCGGAACGTGAGGGCTGCACGCCCAGGCTAGGAGACACCCTCCCTTTCACCTACTGCAGCCTCAGGGTGGAGAGCTGGACGTGAGGGCGGAAGTCCCTCCCTGTCCTGGGACGTGCCGACTGGCCCTGCAGCCAGGGACTCTCCTTCCTTGGCTGCCCTCGTGGACGCAGAGTGAGATCGGAGAGGGGGGAAAAGTATTCTGCCCTGAGCCCGAACAGGCAAGCCCCCGGCCTTTTCCCACAAGTGTGAGGGAAGAAACGGATTCTTCGCTCTGAAGGGTAGGGAGGTTGGAAAGGGTTGGGTCTGAGCACGTGAAAGGGCTTGGGAGCTCAGCACATGGAGGGCAGGGGCATCCTGGGCTCTCTTTGCTAGGCCGGTGCAATTTGAGACCAGTTAGCTCCCTGCTCTTCTAGCAGAAGAGCCTATTGCTAAGTTTAGCTGGCCTGGTGGTAACCTTTGCTTAAAAAGCAGGAAGCACGCTGGGCTGTACCCCAAATCCAGTCCTGCCTGGCTGCTTGCCCTTCTGGGATTGCCCTACCTCTTTAGGGCCCCAGAGCCAAGCTGTGGGAGACCGACAGCCCATGCCCAGGCTTTCCATGAGCAGGAGGCAGGCCAAATGAACAGGATGGCGGGGTGAGGCTGCTCCCAGTGCAGACGCTTCTCGCACTCGGCCCTGCCCCCTTTCTGCCTTGCCAATAGAAGCTCCATCTGCAGCTTTGACCCTTTTCCCACAGAGAGGTCTCAGGAGCCCCTCATAGTCCTGCCCTAAGCGAAGCATGTTTCTGAGGTCCATCTTCCCTTTTGCCTCATGCCTATCACGTAATTACTGCTCCCCAGCCACACACATAAGAGCGAGGGAGCATTTCGGAGGCCGTGTGCTGTTGTCATGACAGCAGAAACAGCAGAGTGCCTGTTCCAAGTGACTCAGCAGACTGCATGGCTTGCAGCTGAACGGCTGGACCTGCACACCTGGGGGATGGACCTCGTCACCTACAGAGCTGGGGGTGGGGGGGCTCATGATTTCTGCCATCAGCCAGCCAGTCATTTGCTAACCTGGAATGAGGTAGGGCACACGGAGGAAGCAAACCCTAGGTCTAATGTTTCTCAAGTTACACCCTCCTGACAGGCTGTGTTGTGGGGTGTGCCACGCATGAAGGATGTCATCCTTCCAAGGCTTTCAGTGATTGGGTGCTTACAGCAGCTCCCTGCTATGACAAAATAGGTCTGTAGGATTGTCAGATGTTTTCTGGGGTACAAAGTACCCCCAGGCTGAGAAGTGCTTATGTGAACCTTATTAGAAACCACATAATTCTGTATAGTGGAATCTCACCAGCTGTGCCAAGATGAAGCAGTGAGACCCAGAGACAGCCTAAGGACATCTGGGCTTACCCCTGGATTGATAACCCTGTATGCCATCTGAATCTGGGCTGATGTGAAGAGGAAACAGACCAGCAGAGGACAGAATGCTTGAAAGTGTATAAAAACATTTATTCCTTAGAAAACACAGGGACTGGCAACTGACTCTTGGAAAGTGAAAGCAGTATCACATGGGCTCTAAGAGAAAAGGCCTTGAAAGCAAAGACCATTTACCTATTAAAAACAAGGAGGCAACATATTTATACAGGGGGTACTGAATTCAAGATCATCTGATAAGATGCCCTGCACAGCAGGGAGAGAACAGGCAGAGGCCACTCCTAGGTCCTGTGCCTTCGGGCAGATGCTCTGCGGATGGGGGTGGTTCTCTTGGGTGTCTCCTCTTCTGTCATCTCCGCTGAAAGTTCTATTCAAGGAATTATAGGAACATAAGCTGAGTCACAAAGATGGTGCAAAACGGATCTCAAAAAATAGAGTTGCAAAGCCCAACTGCACAGTGGGGAGGCCAGAGGCAGGAAGACTGAGTCTACACCCAGGCAAGCCCACCGGAGACCCCAAGGCAAGCAGCACTCAGGAGGCCGTATCATACCGTCCGAGCTGGACTCGTCACTTGAGAAGACAACTTTGACTTTCTTCTTGGACTTCCGTTGCTGAGTATTTGGACGACGTTGGTTGGTACGCTGAGGCTTAGGTGTGACAAAGTCACTGTCTGAATCTACAGAAGTCAGAGCCTGTTGCCTTGAGACTAGAAGAGGCAGGGAGACATGATTTCAAAACAAAAATAAACCACAAAGGGAAAAAAAAAAAAGATGGCGACCACCAGTGTGGGCTTGCCTCTTATACCAGTGGGTTTCTTAGCAGACAAGGCTCTCTGGCTGCCTCCTTGGCCAGTTTCAAGCTCCTCTATTCCATCCATGCCTCTGGTGTGACAGGCCCGAAGCTTCTGCTCAAATTCATCTATTACAGCCTGGGGGAAAAAAGGTTAAAGAGAAACAGCTAAGGAAAGGCACAGAAAGACTTTACATGTTTATTCTACGTGAAAGAAGCCATTCTGAAATCATCACGTGCGGTGTGATCCCAACTGAGTGACACTACTTCAGGGGTGGGGAGTGAGGTGGCCTTAGGGTCCTGAAAATGTCCAGTATGATACTATGGTGACAAGTTATGTGGCCCTGTATTCACTGAACCCAGCATCAGTGTACACTTGACTCTGGGTACTGACCTATCAATCACACTCATCATCCAGGTCAGTGTAGACTGTAGCACGGTGCCAAGGACAGGAAGTTGATGGGGAAGAGGCCACGAGTGTGGGGGCAGGAGCAGACGGGAACCCTACTCACTTAGCGTGGCTTTAATGAAACCAAGAAGTATAGGGCCGCGCAGTGGGACACACCTTCACTACCAGCACATGGGAGGTGGAGGCTGGGGAATCTGTGAGTGTGATGCCAGCCTGGTCTACATACCAAGACCCTATCTCAAGCAGAAAATGAACGGCTTTTATTGGGGCTGGCTGCTCTTGCAAGGGACCTGGGTTTGGTTCCCAGCACCCACATGGTAGCTCACAACTGTCTATAACTTCTGTTCCTGGGGATCTAGAACCTTCACACTGACATATACACAGGTAAAACATCAATGCACATGAAATAAAAATACATAAATCTCAAAAAAAGAAAAATAAATAAAAAAGGAAATGGCACTTTACAAAGGGGGCCACTTTACATAGAAAGATCTGGTCTTAAGTTACTCTGGTTCTATGGTTGCAGTGAGGCTAGCAAGGCAGGAAGTGAAAATAGCAGTCTCATTGAGCACGTAGGGGAGCAGATTGTGTTTACTGCACTGGAAGCCAACAGGGCCAGTGACCTTGCCACTCACCTTGCCCTCGGGCTTAGCCCCCCGACGCAGTTTGCCCACAACTGACAAAAAAGCACTGAAGACAGTCTCGTCTAACAGCTTATCTCCAAAGCAGTGAAAGTTGTCCAGCATCTTGTGGAGGCCTCGCTCTGTGAGGGGCAGCTGGGACACACAGTAGGACAGATCCCGGTACTGCCGCTCAGTTCTGCACAAGGGAGGGACTTGGTGAGGCACTCACATCCTCCCCTTCAGTCTCCCTTGGTCCCAGAGGTGCCACCAGGGACTTCTCCCTCCAAAGGGTCCCTCTCGGCACAGAGATCTTCCAAAATGGCAACATACCGGGCTGTGCGGAAGCGCTGACACAGCTTCTCTACCAAGCTCTCGGTCTGTTTGTCCTTGGTGATGTAGGAGAGGAGCTGCCTGTGAGGAGGGGCAGTATATGACTGGCCAGGAAAGCTCTGTTCTCAACCACTACACCGAGTCCACCACCCCAACCCCACCCAGCACCACCTTTCTCTGTCCTGGCTTCTTGGCCTACCATACTCCTGTCTCCTTCCCTTCATTGAGAATGCAAATCAGAGCAGCTGCCATCTAGTGACGGCTATTACGTGCCTGCCACACTGGGAGCCTTACCCCCTTTAAGAGCCACGAGAACTATGATGGAGGTGCTATAAATCTCAGGGGTGAACAGGCAAAAGAGGGTCAAGCTACTTCTGGAGAAGGTGCAGCTACAATGTACATCTGGGGCTGAGAGTAGTGGCAAGAGCGCTTGCATAGGACATGCAAGGCCCGGAGTTCATTTATATTTATTCTTGGCATATCAAATAATCACTCATCCAATCAATAAATCAATCAGAGTTGGGATTAAAAGTGTATCTGGTTCCTAAATCTGTATGCTAGACACATACACCCCTCTAGGTCTAGAAAGC